TAAAGCCAATTTGAGCTTGTAAAATATTTAACTATTTTATGCAATGACTTTTAAATATAGATTATATTAAGAAATATTAAACTGCAAAACTGAAAACATAACCTGTTTTAATTCATGTGAAGCTACCATTCATCAATAGAATTTCAGTATTTTATCAAATCTGATATGCATTTACAAATATTTTGATCCTATTTTTATCCTGTATATCAATCATACAAATAAGCACTTAAGCTCTCTTTCTGGAGTTGCTTTTTGAAATAATAGCCTAGTTTTGAAATTAATTCTAAAGTTTTGAGGGATGTGACAATCTAATGCTAGGCTTAAACCATAGCCATGGCATGTAAAAACACACAATATATACATTCTCTTCTTTCAAACTGTCGTCTGCTATAGGCCCTACTAACCGTCTGATTAGATCATTCCATCGATTTTAATCCATCTGACTAAAGGAAAGCGACAATCCAATAAAGCCATTCCAGATTATATTAAGATTCCATATCAAGCCTTCTCATTCACCAAAACAAAGACAATCAGCACCCATTGTGACAAAGTGACTCTCGATTATCCCCTCTGACATAAACAAAGAAAGTTGACTGGAAATAAGAATCCGAAGCCTAGACCTAGATCTATAAGGGAAAAAATTAACAAACTCACCGATCCCAATCGCAGTCCTCGACTTCCTCCTCCTCATCTCCAGCTTCATTCATCCACATCCAGTCAATTCCATCACAGTCAGACTTTTCGGGGATTCGCTCCATCCTTCACCCTCCTTTGCTAGCATGGATTTCAGCATTTAACTCTCAGGCACCGAGTGGTCGCGGGTCAATCTAAACTAAAAACACGTCCAACAACTTTAAAATCCGTAATCAAAACTAAGTTTAAAAATTAAAATAAACAATGTTTCCGCTGTCATTCATCAGCCAACAACAAGTAAGAAATGATAAAAATAACCCCGAGTCTAAAATTATATATTCTCATTTCACCAACAATAGGCCTAAAACCATCTTCACGCTTCAATGAATGTTTACTTTCAAAGTCTTAAATTCAGCCTCCAATACCAAAGCCATGAAGTCCACAAACGTAATAAACGACAATATTATAATGTTATAAGCCCAGTGAATGCAGGTTATCCTACCCTTTTGTTATTGGCCCTCTTACGCGTACAAAGGGGCTTCTCGTAGCCTTTTATAACATCAATAATATTGAACTGAGGCAAATATTGTATCAAACATTCGCTCACATAACGGGTCTTTGGTAACTTTCACATCAAAAGTATCGCCGCTTTAAATTGCTGTATATATTATACGGATGTTGACCCTTTACACCCATATTACATAATCAATTTTCAGGAAATTGAAATTAAAGTGTTAAAGATGTGACAGTTTTTAAAGATAAGGTTCTGATTAATTATGACATCCCTGTTTAGATTTTAATTCCGCTTGACTTTCTCATTAGGGTGTAAAACTTAATTTAAGTCTTCTCAAATAAATAACATTTCAGGCGACTCCACTTTAAACCGGATAGATAACCGTATATTTTTAAATCATGTGTAGCTCTCTTTAAACCAGAATACGGAAGAAAAATCACAAAGTTTATTGATATTCAGTTTCGGAGAATTTATAAAAGTTACTGATCATTATTTAGTCATATCTGAAGATTATTATTATTATTATTGTCGCCTACAAAACTAACCTACATGCCCTCAAGCTGCCTCTTGCTGTTTTTGATGTAAAATGCTCATCAGAGCACTTTCTATTTAACAAATTTAAAATGAGATTTTGCTCCAAAGCTTTGCAACAAGACAATCTACAGCCTTGATAGTTTGTCCCCCCCCCCCCGCCCCATTGAGTCATTCTGCCCTCTATTTGTATCCCCGTTTTCGGGAGGCTGGCGCCGCCACTGTGGTGAGCTCATTGTACAAGGGGGAGAAGTTTTTCGAGCCAAAATCTCATAACTAGGTTAAGGATTCGGGCAATCTTAGATTTCTCGCCCCCCTCTCGGACGTAAACCTGGCTCCGCCACTACCTCAACATCCATTTAAAATAGTTTACAATACACCTACACAAATTCAATGGGGCCCAATGTAGGGGTACCTCCTAGTTTTTAAATTTGTTTAGGTATGTGTTGTATGATAAGAAATCGGCAGTGAAAACTTTTCCGTCGAATGTGAAAATTTATTATTTTGGGTCGTTGTCGTTTTTTTACTCCTTTCGTTAAGCCATACGACCATTATTCTAAGAGAAACGGTTTGGAGAGCCAAGGGCAATCATGATTACGGTTCAATGTTTTAATACCTTTAGGTCCTGCCATGGTCCATGGAATACATCTTGGTATTGATCTTTCCAGAATTATTTCTATTCATTTATAGTTTGTTCGACTGGAGTAATGACAAAATATGACCTCTTCAAGGATATAAGAACCCACGACTGCTATTTGTCCGGCATAACACGGTTTCCGTTACGATGAAGAGAATCCTGGTTAAGAAAATCGGAGATAAAAGATGTACAGATAGTTACTGACAACCGATAAGATGCGAAGATGAGGGGAGGGGATCCCTTTTAAGACGTCATTACAGTGGGGGACTCATGTTTCCTGAACCATTACCACCGGTCTCCCGTACATGTTGACAATGATTTCCTTTGGTTAAAGATGCACAAAAAATCTAACAAAAACAACATTTATAGGATTTATTATATTTCATATAAAAACACATTTTGGCCCCTTTAACCTTTGGGCAGATAGAAATACACAAGTAGATAAAATAATTTTTAAGCACTAATAAAATCTCTAACAATGAAACCATATAAATATAAATTTCTAACACAACACAAAATCAAACAAATCATTCTTTTAAAATTTTACTCAGAATACAGGAATGATTAATTGGTAAGTATAGAAAATTTATTGTTGTCTGGAGACTTAAGACAGAAATCAAAGAGATAATATACGTCACAGGACAATGCCTTTTAATACTTTAGTACCACTCTACGCTCGAATGAAAGATTGGAAATAACTTTTGAAGCACTACACTTGAAGCAAATTTCAACTATTTTAAATCGCAGATATCAAAATAGCTAATCTTTTCTTGTTGCAGGTGTAAAAATAAGAAAAACTGCATCTGGGACCTCAGGTGACAAAACATACCACATATTATATTCTTGATCATACACAAGACTACAAACACATGGTTGTATAATTCTAAATACATTACAAATAATCTCAAATTCAGAAGACTTTGAAGATGCATGTATACAAAATTATCTCCACAAAAAAACTTAATAAAACAGGTTTAAAAGTAATAAAATGCAAGTTCCAGTCATGATAAAACCTACAATGTATTGCTTGAAACCCTGGTATAAATTCATTCTAGGGCAATGATCAAAATGACTAGTAAATACAGCCAAATCAATAGTCTAGTGCTATAGTCAGATATGACTGGTAAATGCATTCAAAATAAAATCTTTAGTCAGACGTGACTGTCAAAAAGTTTAAAAAACAGCTTACAAGTCTAGTTAGACATGACTTAACAGTACAACCTTGAGCTCTAGTCAGACATTGACTTCAGAAAACAGCCTAGAGCTCTCTGGTCAGACATTGACTTGACAATGCAGTCTAGAGCTCTAGTCAGACATGACTTGACAGTACAACCTTGAGCTCTAGTCAGACATGACTTGACAGTACAACCTTGAGCTCTGGTCAGACACTGACTGACAATGCATCCCAGAGCTCTAGTCAGACATTGACTGAAAATACAATCTAGAGCTCTAGTCAGAAATTGACTGACAATACAGCCCACAGCTCGAGTCAAACCAAATCAACTGTATAAATAGAATCATTAAAGATGGGTTCCCTTATTTTCATTTATCTAAATGAAAATGCTAATACTTATATGAATAGAAAGCAGGGGTGTTCTAATGACTTGGAAAAATACCAGTATGTCCATAATTAATTCATAATTAGCTCAATTAGAAGAGAATTACCAGCAGAATTCTAATGAGTGACCGATCAAGAAAGATCAAAAAGTCTTTTTTGCTTATCAAGACTGTACATACATGGACATTTATGATTGGTTAAAACTCTTAATTATATGCAATAAGAACATAATGATATGATTAAGAATACATGATAATTCATTAGAAACACTAATTAATCAAATAGTTTACTTAATTTGACACTAGAAAACAAGGAAACCCATCTTTAAGAGTTTATAGAATTTTCTCTTACATATTTCATGGACCAGTCACCTGAACTGTCTAAATGAAGTTCTACATTATGATATTTTCTAATTGATTGATAAGTTATATTTAGTTCATTATAATAATTGTATAATACTTCTTCCATTTCTGTATAATTCCAAGATAGCTTGCCAGGCAAGGTAATATTTGCCCACTGGCAGCTTTGATTATGAATAAAAATATTTAGCAGTACAGTAACAATCACCAGTATGAAATATTCAACCTTCTTATATATATATACACTTCTTTTGAACTCTTTAGGGCGATACTGAATAATATTGAGTGTGAGTTATTGCCCTTGTTCTTGAAAACGTTAGAAGGCAAACATTCAATCTTCAGCACGGGGCTGAATAATAAAACCAAGTTTTGTAAAAATCCAGCAAGAATCATGCCTTTTGGTGTTTAAGAGCTAAATTTGAAAGCGTTTTCAAGAACAAGGACAATAACTCATACTACATATTTTTCAATTCTTCTGATTTTCAATAGGGTTCAACGTTGTCCCTTCTAGAGTGTTTACGAGCAAAAAATTGAAAGCGTTTTCAAGAACAAGGACAATAACTCATACTAAATATTTTTTGATTCTTCCCTATTTCAATAGGATTCATTCTTGGGAGATTATGAACACTCATGCCAAGTTTCGTTAAAATCCGTCATGAATTGTGTCTTGTAGAGAGTTTTTATGAGCAATTGTGGAAGGACCGACGGACATACCGACGGAGAAGTTCTACATTATGATATTTTCTAATTGATTGACGATGGCCAACACTGAGTTAAGTTATATTTAGTTCATAACAATAATTGTATAATATTTCTTCCATTTCTGTATAATTCTAAAATGCATTACAAATAGATCAAAATCAAATATTATAAATATGATCTCAAATTCATCGGAAACATGTATACAAAATTACCCTATAAAAAACCTTAATATAACAGGTGCAAAAATAATATACTTTTGTATAAACTCTTTTTGCAAATATGCTATAATGCCCAGTTGAAAAAAAAAACAGGAACCAAAATGTCCCAAATTTGACCTTTGCAGACCAAATCAACTGTATATATGGAAGCTTAATGTAAGAATCATTAAGAGTTTATAGAATTCTCTATTATATTTGTCATTGACCAGTCACCTGAACCGTCTAAATGAAGTTCTACATTATGATATTTTCTAATAGATTGACGATGGCCAACACTGAGTAAAGTTATATTTAGTTCATTACAATAACTGTATAATATTTCTTCCATTTCTATATTCACTTGACTTGTAGCTTCATCTAAAACTGGAAATAAAATACGAACTAATAATTACTCAAAATAGGGAACCAAACTCGGACTAACTGCCCTGGAAGATGGTGCCTCCGACGAGGGTTCTGGAAGCTGACTGTAAGCTATGGAAATGTTTGACAGCTACAGAACTGTTGTTGTGTTCCTGGATGTTAAAATGAAGGAGGGTTTCTGTTTCCAAGTGACAAGACTCTTCGTAACAAGACACCAAATACCAGTTAACAAGTGATGCTGAAATAAACTTTATGTGCTATGATGACTCACTGAAGGGATTATCAGCAATCAAACCCAGATTGCCATGTGAAATCTCTGAAAGAGCCCTCCAAATGGATGCTGAGATGATAAATCCAAATTTAAGTAAGACTAGACAAACCAGGCATGAATAATTAAAAGACTTACTGGCAAACTGAGGTTGATGGTAAAATAATCTAATGAAAGATAATCTTTGACTTTCACCTGGTGATAATTCATTATACCTAAAAAATAGAGACAAAAGTCAATCTGCTAGTCTGTCCTTGTGGTCATCAGACTCTACATTCTTTTGCTGTTTTTATAAAAAGGTTTTAATAAAGTGTCTCCTATCGGTATTTACATAAAATGATTTTAATATTACATTTAGTTTAGTTTGCAAATGTGCCCACTTTGTACTTAATAACATCTAACTTACTCAGAAACTAAAGCTAGCTGTCAATCAAAATGTCATGTGATTGTGAAACTCTTAATTAAGTGAGCAACCTTAGCCAAGTGGGCTAAGTTTTTGTATTGCTTTTCCAATCCAGTGAAGGTGATGCATCCCTATACAGACTTGAAGCCGTATAATCCATATGAGAGCTTGATATATTAATCATGTCTACAAGTAATTTTAATCTATAAATAATCAAACATCTTGTGTGAGTAAATGGAAAATCTTACCAATCCCAATCTGTGGTGGAGTCAAGATCACCCAGCCTGTCTAAAATAGTTTTCAATCCCACACGGTCGATATATTCATAGAGCTTACTGTCCTCTGAAATAAATGATTATAGGCAAATCGTATCAAATAAATGTTAGTGGATGAGAGACCTAGAATCACAGATACAGATTTGACTAATAGTAACTCATGTTTGAAAATCCAAAATATTCCAGGATAATAATCTTTTTGGTCATTTTTGAGTTTAGTAAGCACCTCACATCATCACATGCTGCAAATGTGGATGAAACAAATTTTTGGGGTGTGAAAGGTCCATGTGATTGCTCCAGGGGTGTGAAGGCTAAAATAGGTTGGGAACCACTGCTTTAGAGGATGGGAATCGATCCTTCAGGGTCATCAAAATAATGATTGTCAGTAGAAATGAAATTTGTTCATGACCTTAACCTTGTACACCAAAAGTGGGCTGAAGTTTTCTTTCCCTTTCATTCTAGTAGACCCAACATTAAAATGGCTAATAAAAATCTCACCTTGTTGTGATGTACTATCAGACAATGGGAAGATAATCTAAATATAAGAACATAAACTGTATCAATTTGAGCTAGTCAGAGCTACCCAAAATTTGCTGAGCTGAATTTCAGATTCAAAATTTGAATACAAACATTACGTTTTGTAGTCAGCCTTCCAGTTCTGCTGCACATGATTTTATCTTTAAGGAAATACTGTTGTTGGTGTCAGACAGAAATGTACAGAAAAAAGTGACAAAAATTCAAAAAATTAATGTACAAACCTGTTGACGAAGGGTACCATTAGTAAAATAGGGTTTCTGTGGAAGATATAAAATACTGCTAGGGTTGTAGTTGATAAAACTATCTATATTGCCTGTGACAGTTCGCCATAATCCATTGATTACACGTAGTAAGGAACTTTTACCACAGCCACTATTTCCGGTTAATAAAATATTTATTCCGCTTTCTAACTGAAAACTTAAATCTGGAACAGAACAAATTCAAATTTACGATCTATTTTCAATATCAATCAGTCGTTCACTAATGATTTTCTAGCCACAGAAAACTTAAACTGCTTTGTGAGTCATTCAAAATGACCAATCAATGATCATGTCACACATTAGTATAGAATGGGTAACATTGAAAAAGAAAGAGAAATGCCACTTACTTCTACCGAGAATATCAGTTGATTTAGGGGGTCCATAAGTTAAATTATCCACTCTGAACGCCAATCTTGAATCAATAATCTCACTGGAATTTAGTAATTCTTCATCACTTTCAGGATTTCTAAAATAAACAATAATTCGAAGATAGCTTGTCAGGCAATTTATGGTCAGTTCTGCTGAGTTTTTCCACAGATCTTTTTCATCAAATTCACACAAACAAGGTCTCATCTACATAGACAAATTTCATCAATATAGGATTTCAACTCTACCGTGTTAACAAGGAAATTTGATGCATTTTTACTAAGTTAAAGGCAATGACTCAAAAACAGTTTACTCAAAACGAGCTTAATTCCAACTTGACCGAGATCTCATTAATATATACCTACATACCAAGTTTCATTAAAATCAGAAAAAACATGTAGCCTTTATCGTGTTTACAAGCCAAATTTGATTTGGTTTTTCCTACGTCAAGGGCAATGACTAAAAAACTGTTAAACCAAAATGAGCCAAATTCGAACTTGACTGAGATCTCATTAATATATAACTGTACCAAGTTTCATTAAGATTGGATATAAATTGTAGCCCTTTTTGGTGAACGAAAGAACAAATGGACAGGGCAGACGAACGTACAGGGACTAGCCATGCACTTTGGATCTATTATTTTGTTATTGACAATGGTAATGTTTTCAAAAAATAAAATTTAACTTACTGTTCCCTACCCACAGTTTGTACAAATCCATAATTTTCATTTTGTTCATCTTTTAATCTTCCTAATACCTCCAATAATTGACCTATTCTGAACAAAAAATCTAACTTAATGTATTGGTGATTCGTGACATAGACAAACTATCTAATCTTTTGGATAGAGCATTAAACTAAGGCCAGAAGTGATGCCTAGGAGTGTAAATAGAAATGAAATGCATTAAGGTGCATCAGCACAAAAACAGGCTTTACAGCACCAATTAATGTCTATGACTAGATGGTAGACAAGATTATCAAGAACCCGAATAAATTATGGTTTCTTTTTTCTAAGTTATCTAGAACTAACCTATGAGCCGCCCCGGCAATGTCTGTTATTTTCGTTGATAAATCAATTAGCTTTGTAAAACAACTAATCAGATAAATTGTCACAAACGCATTCTGGAATTATAACAATAATTATATTTCTTTCTGACAATATGTCAAAGGGTTTTCAAAAGTTTTTTTTATGATTGATGCATCAAAACAATGATTTGAGAATAGAATTATCAAGATAGTTTGACATTATCAGATCTTATAATTTTAGTCCCTACCTTAGCTATTAAAGCTGCAAGGTCTGGTGAAGAAAGGTGATCGTAAACCCCAGCGAATATTGGTATCGCCAAGGCAACGTAACTGATTATACTTCCTAAATAATCTGATACATTGATAGAAACTGAAATGAGATATATGTAGTTTTATATAAAAATCTATTTTAGAGGTCAGATAATGTAACATCTGTCTGGATATACATGTATTTTAAATGAAAATGAATAAATGGAGTTTTACGTCCTACTTTTCTGCACATGTATTTTAAAGCCAAGATATAAAAAACCCTGCGAAGATCTTACATGTTATTCTTTAAAAGTATGAATGTTTATTTCCTGAGGATTGGCAAAGAACCAGCTGATCAACAGATCCTTAAGAATCTTAACTATTATCCTAGAAAAATTCTTACCAAAAGGTTTAACAGGATCCTTTTGAATCTTAGTTGCTATCCTTAAATATCATTATTCAGAGGAATAAACAGTCACTATATTGTTAATCCCACCCCTCTTTCCCCATCCTTAATCCCTAACCAAATCAATAAAAATAAAACTTACAATTTAAAAAATATTCTCTGTTTATCAAACTTTTTTGAGTTGACAACAAATTTTGTAATTTTTCGTTAGTTTTTCTTTCTTCAATTGCACCACATCTATAGAAAGCTGCTGATTCACAGTTAACTCGTAACTGCATGTGTTTAAACCTAAAAAAAAAATCATCAAGCTACAAGTCCTGGATATTGTCAACTTGAGCTCGCTAAATGAGATGCAGACACCCCAGAAACGACACTTTTGCAATCAAGTAATGTATCAGTCAAGCAATCTTTTGTCCAATAAACATCCTGTCTTTTGGAGTTACATTTGCAGTCAACTTTGGTGACATTGTTGTCCTCTCACCATAATCTACTGAGAAATATACCCTGGATATAAAAACTAACCTAAAATCTCCCTCTCTCCTCTCTTGAAGGTAGAAATATCGAACTACAGGTGTCATAAGAAATTTATTGATGACTGTAGCCACAATAAAAAAACATAACACACTGACAGGACCTATATACCCTGTACTGAAAAAGAGAAAATAAAACATCAGAAAGGGGAAATAGGTCATAGACAACAGCTCTATAAAAGAAACTTGGTTTTTGGTATTCATTTAGGACTTAAAATCAAATGAACTAATTGAAATAATGCACCACTTTCCCGTCCCGTTCCACCTTGTTCAAATTGATAAGGTAGATACTGACTAATTAGCCATCGTATTACATTTCTGCCAAAGGTGTCAAAGCAAGCTGGTGAGCAAATGCAAAATGGTGAATTGATTTTGAAATTTTGAATAGGTCACTTTCCATCTACAGTGTTTTCCTGTGTATTTTGCACAAGTTCTATCATTCAATAAAGTGATTTGATCATAGTTGGTTTGCTTGTGTTTTTCTTTCCCAAAAACATGAATCCATAGAAGTAATGAAGATACAACGATAAGGCAAAGGGAAATAACTCACTGTTACTGACCTGATAGCTGCCTGATAGGTATAGTAGCCTATAGTAAAAGGGGAGATAACCATTGGTATCAAAACCAAACTAAATTGATTACATAACTTATCTATATCCTGAGTAATTCTTTGGTCTCTGAAAAATATTGAAAGGTTGAAAATCATCTTTAAAATGACTTAGAAAATATCCACAATAAAATAATACTGGCCTATTGTTCTGATTGAAGATAAAAATGTAGTGGACTAAGTTACTAACTTTCTGACAAGCCTCTTATTTTCTTGTAACAAATAGACATCTCAAACAAATTACCATCCCTCTTGATGCAACCTGCGACATCAAAAATTTATCTAATTAACAATCTTGTTACATGTAAAGTATGATAGCCATTTTAAATAGCAACCACTGTATAATACATTTTGTGCTCTTTCAAATGAATATTATACTATCTCAACATGTTTTAATGAAAAGCATACTTACGGATTGTCGATAGTTTTATCAACAACATTGATTTGATAATATAAAACATCATTAAAATATGATTTATGTAGTGCAGAAGATAAGTTCCCTCTCCAGTTGATGTATAATATACTTCCAACATACAATATTGTACTTTTAATCTGAAATATCAATGTAGGTCAAGTATAACTTGATATTACATTGTATCAACTTGATTAACCTATTATTGTCCCTTTTTATCCAGATTTGTTACATTTGTTACTTTTACATAGCTAATAATGTTTTATGGTACTTGTTGCTGACTCCTTTTCAGAGAGGCCACAAGATCTTAAGAAGGGGTTTTTGTCTAGGTGTAAATTGCAGAGGGACTTTTGTCTGGAGGGGCCTTGTCAATCAACAATGTGCTTATGAAAATTTCCCAGCTACTCTACCATTTTATCAATTTGGATGTAAACCATGAAAGTGAACTTACAAAAGCTTCTGCTAGTATAATAAGTACAGCGATAGTGGTCTGATATTTAAAACCTGATAGATCTTTATCGCCAAGAACTTTATAATATTTACTAGGAATATAACCAATATAGTTAATTATCACTTGTTCTGAAATAAAACAATTACAAATATATATATCATGCTTGTCATGTTTGTGACATCGCTCAAAATTTCATTGAACTCTCCCACACATGCATTCTCTCAATGACAATAATACACTGCTATACATTTCTCAATGAATATGATACACTGCTATACATTTCTCAATGAAAATAATACACTGTTATACATTTCTCAATGAATATGATACACTGCTATACATTTCTCAATGAATATGATACACTGCTATACATTTCTCAATGATACACTGCTATACATTTCTCAATGAATATGATACACTGCTATACATTTCTCAATGAATATGATACATTGCTATACATTTCTCAATGAATATGATACACTGCTATACATTTCTCAATGAATATGATACATTACTATACATTTCTCAATGAATATGATACATTGCTATACATTTCTCAATGAATATGATACACTGCTATACATTTCTCAATGAATATGATACACTGCTATACATTTCTCAATGAATATGATACACTGCTATACATTTCTCAATGAATATGATACACTGCTATACATTTCTCAATGAATATGATACACTGCTATACATTTCTCAATGATACACTGCTATACATTTCTCAATGAATATGATACACTGCTATACATTTCTCAATGAATATGATACATGTTTAGAAGACTTCATTTTCCAAATCAGGTAAAAGAGGTTTGGAATGGCGAAAGCACTACTTGTATCAGAATATTCTTACAATTATTCTTTGCCTTGTATAGCATTTGACACAATTTCTCCAATTTGATTTTTATGACAGATGAGTTGGAAACATCCATTAAAAACATTAGTGAGGGTGTGTCTACTCACCTAATAATGACAAAAGTAATAGAAATACACAGAGAAGACTGGCAGAACTACACCAAGATGGGAATATAAACGTCAATAATTTCAAAAATCTCTTCACAAACGTAAAATCAAATGCATATCTGAAATATAAAATGTCAACCATTTTCAGCCACCATCATTTATAGTAGCAGTATAGTCATTGTTCACTTCTCGCTCCTGTTTAGTTCAGTTACGAGTGCATTCTATGCTTATAAGCTTTAAGTCATACAAGTATTTGATCATCTCTTACTAAGGGCCCAAAATCAGCTTTAGCTATTGATGAAACAGCTTTAGTTATTGATGTAAGCCGTGGAAAAACATAATAATACAGCCTATGGAAGCTATATTTTAAATACTTATTTTATAATGCACAAATAATGCTCATTACATTTAGCCTACTAACATGTGAACTCAGTTTATAGTTATGTCAAATAATTCACATTTCTATAAAACAATTTCACTTTTATGACATCAATCTCCAAACATTGGATGATACGGCCTTTACTGTCTGACTACATTGAGCTCTGAATTGAATTTTTTCTCTTATTTCATAAATATTCAAAATAAAATTTTCAATCATATGATATTTCATATTTGTGTTAGAATGTCTTCGGGTCCATAGAAATACGAGGTTCAGTAATATTGCATTTAAAATAGAGATACACTTCCCTCCCAGAAAATTCACGTGAAAATGACCCATTTTTGGAACTGAAAACTCCCCTCTGTAAAATTTTTTTTTTCAGTGGTTAACATTTTCATCACCCCAAAGGCAATCTAAGACTCTCACTAGTATTTTGTAGTTGGTATTTCAAGGCGCTACTTCAATTAATACCTCTTTTTGACGCCAAACTTTGCATAGTAATTGTAGTCTGTAGAAATCGTTTACATGAAATGGATTTCTCTCCCTTTGCAACCTTCCTCATGATAACCGCAAGGTTCTTATCGGTCAAATTTTGGAGGAATAAAGAATCAAATATCAAAGTAGAAAAGATCGATCGCTATAGATCGAATCATTGTGCATGACGAACATATTTTCCATTCATGACTTTTTGGAAATCTTGAAAATAACTCACTTGGTGGAAGCGGCAGAGGGCCGGATACGCTCTCCAGCCATGCCGAAGCAAAATGAGGTGGAAAGGAAATTGAGTTGTATAAACCTATAAATTGTCTGGATAATGTCGACTACCGAAACGTTAATGAGAGTTATCCTTGTTCCGGAAGTAAACAATAAAATGAAAACAATTTGTCTATTTTGTGTTTAATTTTAATAGATCAATATCTTTATGGAATGACTGAATTAGTGTGTGAATTTTTTAAATATAGCAGGAAATATGTCCGATGAAGATGATGACTACATGTCGGATGCCATTCTCCAACAATGGTAGGTTTTGCACATATTACGAATATTGCTATCCTTTTTAGGGCTTCATTCATCATAATATAAAATACAGACTTACAGTGCAGTGGTGTAACCTTTATTCTTGATTAGGATTCAACAATTAATTTCGTCAAAATTTTTTTTTATATCTTAGATGTTTCTTCAGATATTCTATAAAATAATTAAAATTGGTTTGTTCTGATTTTCTTTATGGATCCCCCCCCGGCCCCACTTTGACCCATGCCATATTTCTCGAGTAACCAACACGACAACGTTCGTCAAAATATGTCACCTATTTTCATGAAAAATGTTAGATCTATAAATAAGGCAAGAAAAACACTTTGTATGGATACCAAGTGGTACAATTATCATTTCTTAGTATTTATATTTAATATCAAATCGTTATAACTAATGACAATTCTTTCAAAAAACAATGATTTGAAAAAAAGAAATAGTGCCTGTCCAAATAAGATACGTAAAATTTAAGTAATTTATTGCTAAAATTCATTGAAACAACATATATATGACCCGCATTGTGTTCCATAGAAATTTTCTGCTGGCATGGAATCCCCTAGTTTCACAAAACTTTCTTCACTGGAATATATTCTAGCAAATAATACTTGGAATTCCAAATACAACAAGAGGATTATAAGAAAATTTGACAGATAAAAAATTGTGACATTTGATAATCACCATTTTGTATACCGGTATGTTAGAAATAGATAATAAATTTTACATTGCTTTGAAACGATAAGAAAAATTCTGCAGGTTGTGGTTGTAAAGATAACCCATGTGAATCAAAACATGCAAATGCATAGGTCACGCGAGGTTGCAGATGCTCGAAATTAGGTGACGTGAATAAAATAATAAAATCTTTTATTTTTTGTGAAAATCAAGCCTGGTGTTTTTACAACTAAACTCTTTGAACACTGAATGTGTAAATAAAATGAAACGCCATAGGTACCATGAACTTCAGGTGTATGACGTTAACGTGAAGTCACTTGGTAGCGACTGCTCAGTTAGACTACATATTGCAAAATTATGTAAAGATATCTATAGTCCTGCATTCTCTCTCAATTCATCATTTGTTTCTTCTACTCACTATTGAATTACAGTTACTGTCAATAAAATTACTGCGGAGAATAAGAAATATGTGTCTATGGGTCTCCTGCTCTCTTCCTCTGCTTTTTCAATCATGTTTTATATTTTTGAGTTGTAAGTCTGTCATTAGGTACAGATTACTATACAGTTTGCATCCTCATTTTCAATTACTTCCTTCTAATTTCAGCAATGAAAAAGTTGATAAAAAAATTAAATTGAATCCAAATAATATCACTAAGAAATATGAACAAGAAAAGAAACGAAAAGAATTAAAGCAGAAAAATGTGATGAAACCCAAAAAGGTTTTGGAAAAGGAGAAGAGGGAAGAGATGCTAGCTAAATCATCTCTAACCACTGACAATAAGGGTTTCAATTTATTACAGAAGATGGGCTTCAAACAAGGAATGGTGTTAGGAAAACATGGTAAGCCTACATCTCTTTTGTGAGGAAAAAGTAACTGCTATTGCTTTGTCAGCTGAATTTTAACTACAAGCTTACAGTAACACTTTATAGACTTATAATCTAGTGTAGGGTTAATCTGCAATATAACAAAAACCATTTTTGCAGAGAAGTGACAATGTCTTGTCAGAGTTTCTAGACAAACTTAAAAATCAGAAACTTAATAGGTTATTAGTTAGATGATGAAATTAATGAAAACTATAGACCAATATCTAGAGGAATGTGTCCTTTACCTTACCTGAAAACTATGTTGCTTTTCAATAATGAAAATGTTGTTTTATCTGCCTCACTATCCATATTTTACTGGTAATTAAAAGCTTTTTTTTTCATTAATCAGGAACTGGTAGAGCTGAACCTGTACCAATCAATTTAAAGCTTGGTCGTGGAGGACTTGGGCAAGAGGAAGACAAGAAAAGAAAACAAAATGAAAAAGTTGCTCGCTGGGCTGAGTTAAACATTAAACGTCAAAAATTAGAGAAAAAATCTCAGGAATCTTTCGTGCAAAATCTTAGACAGAAATATTCTAATCAGGAAGGGGAAAGAGATTTAAGAAAAAGTCAGAAGGTTTGTGAACAGCTGGATTCCGAACAGGTTGGTATTTGACTTTAAGATGATTGTGAAACTGTAATACTAGAAACTCTAGATCAAGATTAGATTTGAACAACATTTCAAAGAAAACAGAGCAGGTCAATGTTTCAGGCCTTGAAAAACTTTCCTAATAGTGTAGCATAAAAAATGGATGGAAAACTTTATTGCATTTCATTTCAACAGGGTATAACAGAACCATCAGAGGTATTTTTCTGGCCTCGAGAATTTCTCCAGAGGAAGAAAACCAAGAGGAAAATTGAAGATGAAAATCATGAAGTGGAAGGAAAAGAAGAATATTCTTATGAATTAGATGAAGAGGATCAGGAAGAAGAAGAAGAAGAAGAGGAGGAAGAGGAAGAAGACAATTTAACTGTAAGTTTAGCTAGAATCTCAAGCAAGCAAATATTAGCTAGCACTTGGGATTATGATGATTCTTACCTGACCTGAGGTATAATCTTGACTCTTATAGGTTGCATATAGCAGCAGGCGACATATTTTTTGCATGTAAGCAGCCCATTAAGAAAAGAAATTTCATTTTGACCTTAGCGATATACCGAAACAGACTACCTTAGTAACTGCTCATGTTTAGTTCATTCTCACCATTAAATCCTGCCATTGCTTGCTTCCTGTTCATCATAATTTTTGTGTTGCTTGGGTCTGAGTAAAAAAGACTATTTTTCTGTTTAAACTATTGATTTGCTTTTTTCCCCCAGGTGAATGAAAAGTTAGAAATTTTAACCCTGTATCTTCGTAATAAGTACCTATACTGTATTTGGTGTGCTACAAGTTTTAATGGTAAGTAATAGCTACAACTTGGCAGAACTTCAGTTTAAAATATGCCCAATTTATTTTGTATTAATACACTTGAAACTGCATTTGAAACTCAAAATGTGCTCACAAACTCTATTGTGCTTCACAAACAGCATCTCAAAGACAATTTCCAATATGTTTACTTTTTTCATAGATTTAGACTATGTTTTTTTGTTTTATATAGATGTTGAAGATCTGAGTTCCAACTGTCCTGGTAACACTGCAGATGATCATGATTGAAAACACAGGGTTTTAACATTAATAAGGGATGTAGATGGAGTTGCATTTACCAGTCAAACCGAACTATCAGAACACGACTGATGATCATGACTACAGGTTTTATTTACCAGTCATTTCCGATTTCCAGAGAATGTGATGATCGTTGTTATATCGGGGATGATTTTTTGGAATATGTGAGTCATGTTTGACTGAACTGACCAAGTCTGTGATTATGCAGATCCTTTTTTCTTAGACAAATATAAGCATATGAAAGATTAACAAAAAACACTCTTTGTTGATTTTTTCTTTAAAAAACACATAAAAAGTATGTCAAAAATTAAATATATGATACAAATACATACACTTATCTTCAACTCTTTAAAACTGCTTCTGTTTTCTTACTGTACTCAAGTTTACATTGATAAAATTTGAACATGAAATACTCTACCCAAAATGAAAAATCAAATTCACACATGGTATAATACTGCTCACAATCACTATCGTCAAGCAAAAATATTTAAACATTCATATCATAAACACACTGGCCACTTTCATATGTTAGAATGACTATTTGTACCTCTTGTGTAGTCTTGACTCATACCCCAACGTGCATTAAAGTATTTACTGGATATCTCCATTCAAACAACCAGACAGTGATATTGACTAGTCAATCTTCATAAAGAGGGTACTATAAAACTCATATTCAAATTCACAGCTTTGTTTTCACAGTTTTTATCCTCCAAATTTGAAACTTTGGAAATGAAAAAAGCTTTCAGTTTTTACTGAGCTCTTACTCCCAAAGTACAGAACAATTAGGCCATTTTCTTTAATTCTTCTGAATTGAGTCTAAGTTAAGAAGTTTTGGTCTCCATATCTTCTAACTGATTCCGTTCATCCATCATCTGAATTGATTTCATATTCTGAATTAGAGAAAAACACCTGAAAAAAAATATGTCTTATTAATTTTATGAAATAATAAAAATCTTTTTTAGGGTACAAGTTCACTAAGTTCAAGTTAGCTAAGCTAATCGATAATAGTGTTCATAGCTCACCATTAAAATTTGAGCCTTCAAATCCATGTGTTCAGAATTAACCGTGTTTGAAAGTTAAAATGGAGAACCATGGCCTCCAACTTGAGAAGATGGGAACATCTTGCAAACTCAAAAAATAAAACGTGTTGTTTATCATTGTATCATAAATATTAAACATTAGAGATGATTCCAGGTAAGCCAATAAGCACTTAGGAGCTTGACCTGCAGCAGTGCAACTATGGAATTCACATGAAGCAATATTCTAAATGCAGATATCAGTTTAGATGATTGATAACCACTTTGAAAAATGAAAGACATGCTTACAAGGAACCAAGACCAAAAGTAAGGAAAGATCCCATGACAATTTGGTGTGTTTTCTTCACATTACCTACAAAAGAAGAAACTTTAAAAATTACATTCAAACCTGAATGTCATGAGGTTTCTATATATGGGGTTTTGTAGCACATTCATTTGCATGGTTAAGTCGATAGTACAGTGGCCGTGGTTCTAATCTCAATCAGAAAATCATCTTCACTCATAATTCAGGACTTTTCATGATGTGTACCTCAAATTCAGTTATCCTTGTAAAATATGTTTATTTGTAGCTTTCTTTCTTTCGTCGTGGAGATCATGGATATGATTAGCTTAAATGCTGAGCAAAGCAACCAGACTCAGGCTACATAATTTTTTTTTTTAAAACTAAAACTAACTTAGTAACTGTACGAAATTTAACAGCACATAGAAGTATATAGTTCTAACTTCATGACCTAGGCCCATGCTTTTTATGGGAAATCTATTCTCGTAACACCCTAATGCTACATACAAAGAACCACTTCTTAACTTAAAATAAATCTTAAACTTACTTGTTCCCATAAAATAAACTACACCAGCTATAAAGCTTCCTGAAGCCCCAGAACTCAATGCTGATAAAACAGATTTTCTAAATATGGACTGGAAAACAAATTGAATAGTTTTGTTACTTAATTGTTTATAAATAATCATGTTTGATTATCCATACATGGCACACAATTCTGGTAAATAATGGGAAATAAAATTCCCAACGTCAAAGGGTGTGCAAAATTATACTGCACTGTAGACAAGATACAATAGTAGTTGCAGCTTTAGAGCCATGGTGAGCTTATAATTGATAATTTGATAATTTTGACAGTGGGTTGAACTAACTTCAAATGTCTCTGGGTCTATTATCCGCTCTGGAAGCCCAGTATTGCTTTGCAAAGTAAATTTTAACATAATTTTGACACCATCCTTTTCTTTTTCATAAAAAATTGAAAAGAAAAATGCGAGTCCTCTAATCATTTTTTAAGAGATAATGGTGCTTATATTACCTTGCTGGGTTCGACATCGTCCTCATTCGCAGACATTATTGCAGTTTTTGGTTTGGAACCACATAGATTAGGCCTATGAGACACTAGGGCCAACTTGGTTGGTTGGTAGATGACAAGTTAACGTTCGCTTCCAGCCAGCTGGTTGTGTAAGCCATGTAAACAGGATGACCTTAACCTTGTTGATGTAAACTTTGTTCTTATTGGCTCTGTAATTTCTTACCTTTATTTTGATTTGTTTATTTTGTCACGTGATATTAAATTCAAAATGTCAGCCTCCTGGATATAAACTAGTCTTGATCATAGAGTCTCGAGCCTATAAAAACACATAACTCTAATCAGTAGTAATAATCGAGACCACAATTAACCAACGAGTGACATCAGAGCCGCATATATACGGCTCTGTAACAACTGCCAATTTCATCATTTCAGCAACAGAACATTTTTGTGTGTTCTCTTTCAGAGATTATTAATCAGACTTATCTCCCTTATATCACGTTACCTATATCCTCTTCAACATAGTTAATCGAATTGTATACGATACCTTTTAAACAAGAGAATGTTAGACACCAGTAATTTATCTTCAAATAATAAAATGAAAAAAAAAACAAAAAAGTGTCAATTTCATTTCACTGAGCAGAACAGATGATAGGCCCCAATATAATATTATATTTCATTAGTTTGTCAACGTGAACCTAGCCTACCCCGCAGAACAATATAAAACTCTATTTAATTTGTGAGCCAATCAAAGTAGGCTACAAAGGGTTTGCCTCTTTAGGAAATGGACAGTTGGCCTAAAATGTAAAACTCTATTCCATCTAAACAGTGTCCAGAGCAGTTTGGTTGTAGAATTTTTCAATAAGCTCAATAAGGTAGTGAACAGAAAGCAATATAGAGCCACACCACGCCCTTAATTTATTAACCCAATGGACAAAAGATGAAGACAAAAAACTTCACCCTACTCCATTTCCCATTCAAAACAACAAGAAGATATTTACAAGTATATTATTAATAATAAAACAATCCAGAAAAGATGAAACTTGTAGAAATGTGGAGTAGGTCACATATAATTATGCACGTGCAGGCAGATTCCAAACATAAGCACAAACAGTTCCCTTTGTTCTGAGGCAGTTCCATTTAAAATGACACATCAAAAATCAACTGGTAGGCCTATATTATATTCAATTGCCATTTTTTTTTCCTCGAAACAAAAAAAAATGTTTATCATGTCTGAAATCGTCCCGGGTATGCCCGTTGCCAATCAAAATAATGACGATAATAATAGGCTACATGTAATATTAATCACTCTCACTTGCGACCATCGCTTAAACCTATACCTTTGTAACAACGACCCAACAGAGATCATTGTCTAGTCCATGCCCCAGAGTGCAAAAGTTTGCTGATTTTACATTTCCATAAGTTCGCCACTGACCAGGGTTGATGTCCATTTAAAAAAAACGCTTCTTTGCACGAGGGGCCAAGGTTTATATACAGTTTACAGTTTGGGTGGTTGAGGCTACCCGTGGTTATACTGAGAACAAGGGTCAAATCTAGACTGTGATTTATAGATCAGAGTAGGGCATAAAACTCCTTTTTATTTTATTTAGTGTTCGTAAGAATACACTACCAAACCGTCATCGACTCCGCCTCTTTTTAATGAGCATCCACTTTGTATTTGCAATATGAAAGGTAAATAAATATGATTTTAAAGGAGATGTATTTACAATGTTAACAGTTCGAAAACCTTTGAAGTTAAAAAGACTAACGATGGTAAAAATAACAATAAAAATGTCAAAGAGAAAGAAAATATGATTAATAAGATGAATGCATAGAAATTTCTATTATAATAACTAATTATTCATTAATTATAATACAAGTCATTAATTATGTACATATATTTGCATATCATTAAAAGTGAATCGTGGAAGACCAAATGAAATTATTCCTATTAATACATGGTTACATGGTTATTATACATAAGTGGTTTTGATTCGCTTCACAATTATTGTTTCATTAAAATATTAATATTCTCTTCGATTCTGACGGTCACGTCCGAAATTTGCTGACTTTTACTAAGCCCTTGATATCTATTTTTGACTACCATGTTCTAGACAACTTTAAATTGAGAACTGAAGCGAATCAAAGACACTATGCTAATACTGATGATTTCTATTCTAACTGAAGAACTAAAACTAAACGTGCCAACTTCAAATTTCAATTATCTAAAATTGCACAATTTCTTGAGAAATTTAAAACCTGACTCCAATAATAAAGCTCAAGAAATGAAAAAAGGTTGGGAAATCGCTTTTTATATTTTTAAATTTCAAATTTCGAATTCACTTTAATTTTGCTGTGGGCCTATATGCCACATTTCGCCTTTAATAACATAACCTAATTCATTGGCATAAATTCTATTCTAAATGTAGAAATTTATCGTTTTAAAAACTATGATACAAATAGGTGAACTTTTCTCGTTGTGTTAAATTTTGGTTTCTAATGAAAAAAAAAACTTGAGTATAAGACTATCTATCAAAAAAACACAGGCTCTAAATCAGATGATTTTATGCCCAGCTTCTACATCTATGAGGATAACTAGAATAACTATTTTGGTAAACATAAAACAAGATATAGATGTGGTTAAAAATGG